GAGCAAACACACAAACACACACACACACGCACATCTGCATATTCGCATGCATTATACAATATCCATCCATCTATTCATTTGAAAATTCATCATAAAATCTAAATGATAAATAATTCTGATTGATCGAAAAATGATGCTCTTTACAATCAGTGTTTGTCTGTTCGTTTTAGGAATGTTTGCATGTGTGCATGTTTGTGTGCATGTGTGTGTGCGTGTGTATGCGTGTGTGTGTGTGTGTGTGTGTGTGTGTGTGTGTGTGTGTGTGTGTGTGTGTGTGTGTGTGTGTGTGTGTCCAAGTGTTATGCTATCATATAATTTATTTTAACGCGTTTACTTTATTCAACCTGCCAGCCATAAATCAAATATTAATCCCAAAAAAAAACGAGATAACGCGGTCAAAAAAATGTTTAAGGTAAATTACATTTTTATTGGTTGATTTCAACGAATTATTAATAATAAAAATTGCAATTTGATATTAATTTTTATTTATTAAATTTCTTCTTCTTTCTCGTGCCTTATCCTTTCAGGACATTGGCGACCATCGACCTCCACAAAACCCGATCTTTAACACTTTACAAGAGTTAGAAATGTGGCGATATTCAACAAGTGACACAAGGACTTCACGATTGTTATTCGTCGTTGACCGCGATCTCTTTTCCTTGCAATCTTTCCAGTAGTTTTTAGGTTTTTCATTCTTTCCTTCCGCATGATGTGACCAAAAACAAGTTTTTTCATAACCGGACTGTTTTAATACATCTTCATTCAAAGTATGAGAAGTCCAACTAATTTTCATAATTCTTCTCAAATGCAACATCTCAGCAGCGTTAATCTTTTTTTTCCATTTCTTTAGTAATTACACTTTAAATGCTAACTGCAGATGTTGGTGCGACTTGCAAGGTATGAAATACAATTGATGTGAATTTAAAAGTGACACAGAAATATAATACAAAATGACATGATAGGTAGATACGAACGTCAAAATACAAACGCGAATGGAAATAATTGTGCTAAATTTTAAAGTAATATGGCCTGAGGGTTGAATGAAGAGAATGAAATACTAGTAACGAAGGACGCCTGATGTAGGCTCTTTTGGTGGTAGCCACACAATAATATAGTAGTAGCGATTAGTAATAAACTACCTGGTTGTTGTCGAAGTTGCATGTATTTTGAAAGTTTAACGATGAGTAGAGGTAGCTTAGCGATATGAAGATGAAATGGAGACGTCAAATGGTTTGGTCTGAATAGCTTGTTGAAATTAAAGTTTTATTATATCGTGATTCATTTAAAAAATTTCTAATTTAATTTTTCAAGTCGTTCGTTTGTCTGGAGAGGCGTTGTTATTGATATTGGTTAGTGGAGTGATTATTATCTATTCAAATGCGAACTTGACACTGGAAAATGAAACTGCTGAGATGTGCAGTGTTGCAAAATAATCTCCAGATGGCAAGAGCATTTTGGCGGAAACTGGCGAGACCCAACGTCAACGTGTAATTGATGCGTAAGTTGGAGACAGTTTCACAGCACTTTTCAACAAGATTTAGGGATCAAAGTGTTTACTGGAAATTAGACATTATAAAAAAAGCAAAAAATAAGCAAAAATTTATTATTTTTAATTATATTTATAATTAAAATTTCGTAAAATTTCGTTCTAAAAAAATTCCTACTCCTACTCTTCCCACAAAAAATATCTGGCTGTTTACATATGCATGATCATTGTTATAATAAATTTGCTGCTCATTTATAGGCACTCGAACAGCTTAGTTAATTTTCTAGTTGCTATAGCTAATGTACTGTACATTGTACCACAACATGTTGTTTCACGTTACAGACTGTTTACTGCATTGTTATGTTATGTCTCATTATTGCAATATATTATCGAATAATTTTTATTATTATTTGCTAAAAAAAACAAATTTTTTATACATAATTATTTTATTGCGTAAAATTTACCATAAAAAAGTGTTTTATAAATGATGGAATACCTTGTATGCAACATATGCAAACTGCCATTTAAAAGTCCCAGAAAGTTACCATGCGGGCATAGTTTTTGCTCGGACTGTCTGCAGTGGACTCTAAGGAAAGGTTCTTTAAAGGTTCAAAATGATGGAACCTTCTGTTTCTTTTGTAAAACTTGTGGCCAGGTGGGTACTTTAATGGGTTTTTATTTTGCATGTAGTTATCGTTAAAAGCTTGTAATATAATTTACGTTTTCGTCTTGTAGGGTATTGATTTTCTTTTTAAAGTTATCAAATAACTTGTTCTTCCATTTTTGAAATGTTTCATTTAATTAGCGCCACTTAAAGGTATTTCAAAAAATAATATGTTAGTTTGGTCATAAATTTTTTGAATCGTGTCTTCTTTTTTATGTTTTCAATTCAAGGCACTCTTGAAAAGGTAAAAATAATTTTGTTCACTTACGATTCTTCCTTAATACACATGTCAATGTTTGTTATTGTTATTTAGAGGCATGTTCTTTTTGTGCTATCACGCGTTAGTCTTTCTGAATGTTGTTTGCATGGGTTGTTGTCTTGAAGGTCATAAATTATTTTTAATAGCTGTGCGAGACGAACATCAAGCATGGAGTGAAAGAATTCAAACGTCAAACATTTTACGATAGCTTGATGGCCGTTCTACTTTTCAAGGCATCTTTTATCTGTAGTCACTGCTCAAAAATATCCGACTCTAAGTCGAAATGGCTGAAAAGCAAGATATCTGATGGGACTGAATGCTGTTTGTCGTGCCAAATGTTTCTCTGCGAACGATGCGTTGGCATCCATAAAAAAAATAACGGTGCTCAGGAGCATGAAATTTTCAAAATAGCGAACCTGCGAAAAGAAGTGTTCCTCTTATCCCATAAAAACGACAATCTTCAAAAGCAAACAATCATTTTACAATTTGTAACCATCAAAAACGTTTCAACTCTATGCTATTCCTTGCAAACCACTTTTGCACCTAAGTTCATAACCGCAGATATCAAGAACGATAAAGTTATCCTTATCAACGAGGGTGGTCTAGCAAAAATATTCTCTTTTGACGGTCACATCAGAAATGAAATCGACTTTAAAAAATCTCTCAGAATTTTTAGAGAACACCAGAACAATAAACTCTGCTGCCACAACTTCGAGCCGACAAGTTACTCCATTACAAGCGATGGTGACGTCATTTCAACCATCGTCAAAAAGTGCTCGCACGCTGCAAACCACACTCGCAAAAGTGCCGATTTTATAGCAGTGGCAATTGTGCAATCGATTCAAGACGGAAGTCTTCAAATTGTGTGCTCCATACCAATCGAAAAAAAAACTAAAAAATCATCAATTCTTCCGTGTCGCAGGAAGCTGGAAAATAAAATTCATCCCCAAGAACACAAAAGTGGACCCAGCTCTGTCGTCTGTCTCTTCAATGGAGTCATCATTGTGGCGGATTCCTTGCGCAGAAAGTTGTACGTCTTCAACAAGAAATTTGAATTTCTCAGATGCTACGACTGTCTTGAATGCTTTGAAAATGATTACGAAATGAACCAGGGGTCGTTCGTCTTAACTGAAATCGTCAAAAGTTTCATGAATTCCAAAGTTCTGCTGTTGGATTCGTGTTTGGACTATATGAAGGTTAAATTCCAAATTGTTCATTTTAACTTTCTGATCAGATTCCAAGTGTTCACGCAATATCATATCTTAAATGCAGACATTGTTATAAACATTGCTTGTTGTTGTTGTTGTTAAGGCCATCCAACGAACGATTTTTAATTATCGCAAGACACCATTCATCTACAACAAACGTTTTTATAACGAATTTTATTAATTTTATTTATTCCTCTACTGCTTGTGGACAAGTTTGAATGTGATGTTTAACTGCAGCGATGTTCATGGAACGCACTCACCACTCAGATATACAGCGTGCAGACGGAAACTGGTAAATTAACTTTAAACTCAACACTTCGTCTCTCCCTGATGACGTCAGAATTGTCGCCGGCGGCAACCAATCAGCGGATGACAGAGAAGTTTTTGATGTCACATCTTTCTTCCTCTTCTCGCTTTCCACCACTCCAACAATCATCATTATCATCAGAAACATTAAAGCCATCATCATCATTATCATCATTACAACAATCGCAGTCACAAAAGCAGAGACCAACAAAGAGTACATCATTATCATTACCACCATTACAAGAATCGTCATCATCATTACCACAGCCGCCATCATCATTACCATCGTCGTCATCGTCGTCAGTTACAAAAGCAGATGTTGTTTTATCGCTGAAGGAAGGCTGTACAAGCACACCCCAAAGAAAAGAACTTGCTCCTATTCCTCGTTCCCTGCTTGTCAGTGCTCTCTGCTCAGACGGAGATGGCAATGTGTATGTCGGTATGTCGGATCGACCCGGTCAAATAAGAGTCGGTATTTCTTTTCTCTCTCTCTCTCTCTCTCTCTCTCTCTTTCTCTGTGTGCGAGTGTGTGAGCTTGTGAAGTATATATTTGTGTGTGTGTGTGAGTGTGTACTTTTTTAATAATTTGCTTTATTGATTTAAAAAAATTTTGCTGTAAGAATGAAAAACTGATCAAACGGTTGAACAAAAGAATTGTAAGAACAACGAACTATTTGAATGTTTCATTAACAATTAATGCTTCAAAACAATGAGCTGAATAATTCAACACAAACACAAAACTGCACTCTAAAAATGCCGGAAACTTTTATTTTCTCACATAATTAGACAATCCCCAATCGACAAACCAATCAAACATTGTCACACAGTCCAGTTAATTAATTAATTAACTAATTAAGCAATCAATCATCGTTCAGGTGTTCAACGTGAATGCAGGTGTGCAGGTTGCTAGCATGGAAAACACTCGACTACTATCATGCGACAACTCCTCTTACGTCGCCATGACGTCATCCGGTGATTATTTATTGCTTTTGTTGAACTACAACAACAAGATGGCCGCCGATGATGACGTTGATGAAGATGGCGGGGGTGGTGGGGATAGTTCTGTCGCATCTCCAACTTGGGCTGTTCATGTTTTCAAATGTTCATCAGCGGATGGAAGGGGCGATAGAAAAAAATATCCATAGTTACCGCGGAAATTGTGAAGATGGTGCTGAAGTTGATGGATGGGGATGCCGTTGATGGTTTGGTTGGGGGTCGTATCAAACAATTTTGCAGGTCTAATGTTTTTGAAGAGTCGCACGAATGTTTTGAAACGGAAAATTAATGACAATGTTTTTCAATTGTTTAATTGGTGGTGATTAACTTTTTAGAGGCCCTTGATTTGTGCAAAAAAAAGATTGTTAAAACAATGATAATATTATATTTATTTCAATTTTATCAATTATAAAAATTTACCAAACACAGATGGTGAAGATGAATAAGATGATGATGTATGATGATGATGATGATGATGATGATGACAACTTTGATGATGTTGTGTAGGTAAGGTTTTGATGATTATACGATGATGCGACAACGATATTGTTGTGAAATGAAAAACATTCAAGTCCAAATCGATTGCTCGCTGTTTTCAAAACACATCCCTATCATCATCGTCGTCGTCGTGGTCGTCACCAATAATCATCATCATCATTGTCATCGATGCATCATCATCTTCGTCATATCAGTAGCTAATGTATGAAAAATTGATTGTTCCCGAAACTCGCTATCAAACATACATCCATTCGCAATGCGTTTATCGGTTGGTCGCTTGAATGCCTTGAATTGTATTAACTTCAATTGAAAGTGGTTGTGTGGCCTAATGTTGTCTTGTTGTTTTTGTCTTGTTGTTTTTGTTGTCGTCGTCGTCGTTGTTGCCTTGTTGTGTTCTTGTCCTTGTTGCTGTCCTTGTTTTGCTGTTGCTTCTGTTGTTGTTGTGGTTGTTTTCGTTTTGTTACTTTTCATTTTGTTTGAAGCTTATTTCTTCCGATGTTAATAATAATTTTCAATGTATGCTGATAGATGAAAAAGTGATTAATTACATTAGTTGCTGATTAAATAATTGAATGTATGAATGAAAGGAATGAACAAATGAAAGAAAGCAAAATTAAAAAATTCAAGTGATAAGTTATCGCGCACAGGTCAATGACAATGACAAACAAACTCCACTTAACTCTCGATAAAGCCAAGCACTACACTCAACACACACACACACACACACACACACACACACACACACACACACACACACACACACACACACCACCACCACCACCACCACCACACACACACAAACTAATAACAAATTCTTATATAATTTTCTTTTTCAAGTGCCTTCGAAACTTTCTTAAAAGGATTTTATATTGAAAAACTTAAACTTGCTTATCTACATGTCTCGTCGTCTATTTTTGAATGTAGGCACATTAAAATCATATCAACCATCAATGAATGACACTCAAAATTTATCTTTTCAAGATTCGCATCTCACACATTTTTAATTAAAAACTTCAGAGATGGCATTTGAAATTTCACCATCCAACTGATCATATTGCAGATGCCTAAAAGTGCTGGAATGTTTTTCTTATAACGGGAACTCAGTTAAAAAATCGACATATCGTAAATAATTTGTTGATTTCAATTTAAAGTTTGGCATATAAACTGTTTTGATTTAATAAATTTGATTGAGAGTATTAAATAAATTATTCTCAAATATAAATAGATACAAAAATCTTATCTACATTTTAAAAGTAGATAGATGTTATTAATTAGTCTGGATTGTAAAAGTGGTTCGTGGCAAAGTTATGCGAGTGAATGCTGCACACCTATATACAACATACATTGGTATGATGAATGTACGTTACGTTGCAAACAGCAGTTGAGAGATGCCACGAAGACAAAGAAATGCATACATTATGCTAATTTACTCTCTGCTGCCAGTAAAACCTAATTAAATATGTTAATTTATGACGAGTTGTAGCTTCTCTGGACATCGTTTGACCCACACTTTGGTCCACTATTGATTTAAACTTCTGTATTATTTTCGCAGATAAATTTCTTTGTGTGTATTTTAATATATATTACAAAAATGATTTTCAAACACACACACACACACAAACAACGTGGCAATGGGCGTTATTTCTGTGTTTGTGCTATCAATCAATGCGAATGTACAGCACATTCTTTTCATTAAAACCGATCAACCAATCAATTAATCAATTACTCAATTGTTTAGTTAGTTTTTCAACATTATTTAGCATAATTATGCACCACAATAATAACAGCAACACCCATTATTATTATTATTTTAATATGAAATTCTACGTTTCATATATACAACATATGCAGGATACAGAGTGCTTGCCAATGCGATCCTCAGTGTACAGAATGGACAACAGAGGTTGTAGCTGTGATGTTGTACAGTTGTTTGTGCTGTTGTTGGGTGTGGTTTTGTGTGCTGCTGTGTGTGTGCGCGTGTGTGTGTAGTTGAGTGGTGAACATGTTATCGACATAATGTTTGTTTATATGTTGTGTTGTGTATGGTTTGAATGTATTATAATTTGTTGTCTTTCACGGCGACAATGATGTTGTCGTTGCTGTTGTTTTTGATAATGATGTTGTTGTTGTTGATGATGATAATGTTGTTGTTGTTTTTGTTGATGATAATGTTGTTGTTGTTTTTGTTGATGATAATGATGTTGTAGTTGTTGACAACAAAACCGATGATAACTTTTATCAAGAAGGCTACTGATATATATATATATATATATATATATATATATATATATATCAGTAGCGTTTAGTTATTTAATGACAGTGTTATTAAATGAAACCATTTTCTCCGATATGTTGTGCGTGTGTGTGTGTGTGTGTGCGTGCGTTTGTGTGTATATGTGTGTACGGGTTTGTGATGTGTGTATTATGTACGTTTGGTGTTTGTAATGTACGTGTCCGTCTGTGTGTGTGTTGTGTGCGTGTGTGTGTGTGTGTGTGTGTGTGGCGTGTGTACCCCACCCACCATGTTTGCATTAAAATAATATAATTGAAGTGCGTTATTATTGAACCATTTTATCGATTGCATGTTATGTTAGTTAATGTTCATTAAGGAAGATTACTATCATATTTTTATTTGATATCTTTTCTATCATCATTGTTAACCATCTCTACCATCATTACTCTCCCTAGATACCTCTATCATTATTACTATCTTTAGATATCATCTTTAGTATCATTAATATCATTTTCTCCTCATTACTATCATTTGATATCATCCTTACTATTATTTTTATCATTTTATATTATCTCTACCATCATTCTTACCATTTGATATTATCTCTACCATCATTACTATTCTTTGATATCATCTTTTTTGTATGTATTAATATTTGTGTAGATTTCATTAATGTTTTTCAATAATATTAACATAAATATTTGTTGAATTATTTATTAACCGGTATTAAGTGACTCGTTAAATTAATTTTTGAAAATAAGCTAGAACGCTGAAAACTTAAAATATCTCCCCATTAAAAAGCCTTGCGATGTTTACATCACGCAAACTTTTACAAAGTTTGAGCCAATGGTAGTGTTGGATTTAAACACTCATTTAATTTAACTCTACACGATTTGTAACAAAATTTAAAGTTTCGCAGTTTCAGCTTCTACAGTAGCATAATAGTAACTGGTGATTCAACTTTGTTTGTAGTACTACTGGCTTTTAGAAACTTGAAACAACATTCATCTATACTAATTACTAAAATTTAATTATAAAATACATGTTAGTATTTTAGCCATCTATTATCTTGATCATTCAGGCTTTTACAAAGTATAATATAAGCTAAAAGAAGATACACGCTATTAGTTTATTATAAACGCAATTTTTTCACAATTCAAAGTTAAGTGTGCGTGTGTGTGTATATGTGTATGTACTGCATGTGTATATAAATATGCGTGTGTGCGTGCGTGAGTGAATATATCATCGAAAGGGTATAGAATTACTTTGATGCTTGGCATAGCAGCAAGTACTAAAAGATGAAAGTCTTATGCAAGTTTAATGAATTTATTAATAAATACTCCATGCACCTATGGTATTATATGAAGCTCGGTCTTATAAATTATTTTTAGACTTTAATTATCTTTTGTTCGTGTTTGTAGTGTAGTGTAGATTATTTTTAGTTTATCTGATTTAAATTATTGTCTTGAATATTTATAAATGATTAGTAAATAAATGAAATTGTTTTTTTTAATTTTTTTTTGCCCACAGGAAGATTCGTATCAATGGTCCAATTCTTCGTTCACGAAGATGCAGTCATGTATGTTTGTATAAATGTATTTATGTATACAAACAAATGTATGTATGTATGTATGTATGTATGTATGTATGTATTTATGTGTGTGTGTATGAGTGTGTATGTATTTATGTGTGTGTATGTATATGTGTGTAGTGTGTGTGTGTATGTATGTGTGGGGTGTGTGTGTGTGTATGTACGCACGTATTTATTTCTATGCATGTATGCATGTATGTATGATGTGTGTTTACCATGTAGAGAAAGTAAAGCTTGTTGAATTCCATTCCAGTCTTTCCCCTTGTTCAGTGTGTGCGTGTTGCTGTTGTTGTTTACTTTATACGATGAATTAATTGTTTACATTAAATTACATTAAAATCTAGAAGTTATTCACATTAATGATGTTTTATCTGAATTATAAGTTGAAAGCCATTTTATTTTAAGCGTTGTTGAATCATTTTTTAAAATTATATAAATAACTTACACATTTTTTAGATATAAGATATCTGATATGATATTACAACTATAAGTGCTGCTTGTAGTTTACATTTCGGTTAGCAATTCTTGGAAATAATAAAAGCAAATATGTATTTGAAATTGAACGAGACGACAAAACCAGTTAGTTAAATAATATATTTAAATATGTTAATATGATTAAGACTATTATAATAATTATTATCGTGATTATTATTGTTACTATACAAAGATTAATTTTTTTTTCAAAAAGTTTTGGCTTGGTTGTTTGTATGTTGTATTTTTCTATTTTCTGTATAATATGATGTTGTATGTATTGTGTACTTCAAACAAATTACAGTTGATTAATGTGTGATGTCTTTTTGTTTTTCATCCCAAGCCATCTTTGCAAGTACTTATCTTCGACACTCAACAACACGGTTATTCCATTCATTCATTCATTCGTTCGTTTTATTTATTCCATTAGAGTTCGTTCCTTTGTTCATTCGTTCGTTCGTTCGTTCGTTCATTCATTTGCCTACTCATACTGCGATAAGGAATTTAATTATTTGATAGTAGTATGTGGTTGTATTTAGTAATTGGTATAGGTGAAAAAACAACAA